TTCTTTCCCTTTTTTTTTTTTTTGTTAATTTACAGCGGGTAATCATTTATATCACTCACTCTTTCATTTTTTTTTTTTCAATATTTGAAAGAAATGCTTTTTTTTTCCCAAAAGATGAGAGAGTGGTTACCGCCCAATAGCCCTGTCAACAAATAGAGAAGTTAGAAAGAGAGAAAAGGGAATATTTTTTATATTTTTTTTATCATTACATACATATATATATATAAAGTAAGAACAATAAAAGGAGGACTAGAGAAAAGAAAGAAAATAACAGAAAAAAAACAATGAAGGGAGTCCTAAAAGATGAAATTTGGACCGAGTCGTACTGGCCTATTCTTTGTGAAAACCTAGTTCCTAGCTTTGTTTGGAAAACGTGTTTGGGAAAAGCCAGAAAAGAAACAAAATAACAATTGGCAACCAAATGATCTTTTTTCCAATCGTGATGGTATAGCCAATCAAATAGACAATTAATAAATGACCAACGAATAATTTAGCAATTCGAGAAACGAACTTGGTAATATATCCACAATCTTCCACTGTATCAATATTAATCACTTTTACTAAATAATAAGAATTATCATAATAATTTAATTATAATTGTAATAGTGTGTTCATGTCTCTCTAAAAATTAGGACCAAATTTGTCAAAAAAAAAAAAAAAGATCAGGTGCCCACAAGTCTCGTTCGTTTCGCTGATTTGAGTTTAGAATTTGAGTTTTACTACAGTAAAAAGCTCTCATAAATAATCACATCTAATTTTTTTACTACAGTAAAAAACTCTCACATAAAATTACATCTCAACTCAAATTTTAAACTCGAATTAGCGAAACGAACGAGACTATATATATATATATATCATTAAGCAAAAAGTATTCATATTATGGTTCCTCAAAAATAATTGTCACCACCCCTTTAAACAAATAATAATTATCACGATGGACACCTCAATTCATTAGCCAAAAAAAAAAGCATAAAATGAATTTTTGGGTATCTGCCCCTATTTTTGGATTCCTCTTGCTAATCATGTAAGTCGTATGAGGCTTTCCTAGAAAACTCACACATTGATTAATTCTCTCTTCTTGTTTTTGTTTGTTCTAAATTTATGTCACACGTGCTCGCAACTTTTTTTTAATCTAAAATTTTGTGTCATTTTTACTTGAGTCGTAGATAGTTATCTCTGATATTCCAAATTTATTGAAATGTTTGGCAACGTAAGTTCCAACTACCAACACTCTCAGGTCCACGTCAATGGTCAATATATGGAGGGGTCGAATGACTTTTCAGTCCTCTTGATTTTATTTAAAGTACTAGAATTTTGTCGAGCTTTAAATTAAGTGATAATAAGTACTGATAATTTAAAATAGACCGCTACTTGTTTCCTCATAATGATGTCTGTTATACCACATTTTTCACAGATCAAAGTCATCATTCCATGTTGAAAATGTCAAAGATTCAGAGCTTAAATTTGCTCTAGCTTAAGTCATTTAAGAAGTATTAAATGAATGTTTAGTTTATAGATTTAAAATTATGATTTAAAATTATTTTTAATTTATGTGTATTTTTTATGAGAGAAAATATTATAACGAATTATGAATTATAATTTAAATCGTGGTACGAATATACTAATCAAACGCACTATAAATGATTTAAATGGTACAACGTACCCGTAGCTCAAAAGGTTTCCACTAGAGCTTCTTGCTCGATCCTATAGCTCAATCTTAAAATTTAACAATATTAGGGGTCGTTTAGTTCGCTGATTTGGGTTTTTAATTTGAGTTGAAATGTGACTTTATGTGAGAGTTTTTTTATTGTAGCAAAAAAGTTAAATGTGACTGTTTCTGAGAGCTTTTTACTGTAATAAAATTCAAATTTTAAATTCAAATCAGTAAAATAAATGGGATCTGGACTTGCTCATCAAATAAGGGAGAAAGCAATGCCTTTGACACAAGAAGATCCAACTCGACGACACCAATCTATTAGGCTCCCGAGCTCGTGGTTAAAGCGCCAATCCCATCAATATATACCCAAAGAAGAGAACATCTGAAGTTATAGTTACAAAATATGTCATCATCTGAAAAGAAAAATATTTGTTTAAGTCCCACTCAAAATCCACGAGATTTGCATTAACATTGCATGACAACAAGTGGCTAGGAAGTTGGAGAAGTCTGTTGACAAATTATAAATACCTAATCCATATATAAAGCAGTTTCCTAAAGGTCAAGATTGAGGGCTTTCAGATAGCTATTTGGAACTTTCTATTTCCAATCCGCAATATATCACATTTTTCCTGCTAGCTAATATGCACATTTTTTGTAATAATCCGACTTATATATACTAACGGTTTTTTCTTTCTTTTTTCTTTAAACATAAAAGAAAGAAAGAAGAAAAGGGTTTTAGGAGACGTTTGTTTTCTATATCTGTCCTTAATTCTGAATCATGATTAATGGTTATTTATAATATTTTTTCTCATAAAAAATATACATAAAATAAAAATAATTTTAAATCATAATTATAAATACATGAACTAAACGTAATCTTAATTTATTCATTTATTCAGTCGAAAGATGATTCTTGGAATCTTCTCGTTGTTTGACTACGGTTCATATTCTTAGCATCGAAGAAAATGAAAATGTTCGAGTACACGACTTGTTTGCCAAGTTTTTTTAAAAAAAATAAAAATAAAAAGAGCGGTAGTACGATGCTTTGCTAGCTGTCAGGACTAGTGCCAAACTCTTCACACATCCACATATATATATATCTTCCAATTTCCTAGCTCTCTAAACTTCTTCCTCTTCCTTCCTCTTTTTCCTTCTTCTTTAGTCTCTCTCCTTTCATTTCTTCTTAATTTCTGCTTAAATTTTCTTTTATAGATACGGTAAGTTTTCTTTTTAGTACTTTTCCTTTTCTCTTTTGATCATTGGCTGATTCTCTGATATTAATTGTTCTCTTCTCCTTGTTGGCTGATTCTCTTTTCCTTTTCTCTCTTTTTAGTACTTTTCCTTCTCCTTGTTTATGAAATTAGCTAATTATATATAAGGTTGAACAATATTTTATGCACAGCTATATATATCCGATGGCGATATCATTGTCTTTCTCCCAAGTTTTCCTCTTGTTTCTTTGTCTCTTCCAAACCCCTGGTAAGTACTTCTATAATAAGTTACAGAATTCTACACACATACACATATACATTATACATATACATATATGTTAAAAATAGCATCTTTCAAGTTTGAGCTATTAAAGTTGCACACCTTACCATAGATTTGATCTTCTAATCAACTTTAAATCACTTTTTGCGTGTACTTATTATGTTATTCGTGTGTTTTAATATTGGATATTCTTGCTTAGGCACGCATTCGGTGTTGATGATGAACATCAAAAATTCATGCGAGGACACCATATGGCCGGCTTATGTCTCCAAACCCCACTCCTCGGAGCTCCCGAAGAATTCGACCGGTTTCACCCTCCGGCCGGGAGAATCCAAGATCGTCTCAGCTCCGGCCAACTGGGACGGCACTCTATGGGGCCGAACCCACTGCAGCGGAAACACCACGGCCCATAAATTCACTTGCGGGACCGGGGACTGCGGCTCCTCGGCCCTGGAATGCCCCAGTGGAACCGCCGCTCCTGCCGCCACTACTCTTGCCGAATTCACCCCGAAGGGCGCAGCGGGAGAGTACGCCTACTCCGTCAGCCTCGCGAAGGGGTTCAACCTGCCCATGACGGTGGTTCCGAGAGGTAATAGTCATCAATCAATTAGCGACTGCAAGGCAACTGGTTGCGTTGCGGATCTGAACAAGGAATGCCCTAAGGACGTCCAAGTTGTGCGTGGCAACGATGTTATTGGGTGTAACAGCGCGTGCGAGGCGTTTAAGGAAACTCATGATCACTACTGTGGTCGTTCTAGCACTTACTCCGATCATTTCAAGGGACTCTGCCCAGGTACTCAGGCCTATGAAAACGACAAGACAAACACATTCTTCTCATGTGCTTCTGCAGATTACTATGATGTTAACTTCTGTGCTTCAAGTTTTCCTTCAAGTTCTCCACGCTTCGTAACCCACAGGTAAGGATTATTTTATAAATGTCATGTTAGGAGAGTTTTGGAATAATCCACTTGTCATAAATACCCATTAGTTGTTTCGCTACATGATTAATTGATGAAACTTTCTCACCAAAAAATTTATTTTCTATTTAAACTTATATGTGACCAAAAAGCATTGATTGATTTTTTCTTATATAAAGATTTCTCTTGATTATATGTTTTTGATAAAGTTATAATATAACTCACACAAAAATGCTCTTGACGGTGTAGTACTGCGAGTTCGCCGGAAGTGTACGGTCCAGGGGAGGAGTTGTGGGATAACAGTGGCAAAAGTACTCCCTTGCTCATCAAAATAATCGCTTCTATTTCTGGGACCATCGTGGGAGGACCATTTTTAATGTGGCTGGTGCATATCATTTGGAGTCGTTACCAAAGGGCCGATCACAGCCGTCCATTTTTTTGTCATCTCAAACTCATCTTCGAGTGTCGTAGCAACTGGATCTGTAACTGTTGCACTAACAATTCCAATCCTCAAGAAAACTCATCAGCAATGCATCACGTCCCCTCAAAATTTCCGAACCAAAGGGAGCAAATTATGAAGAAAGTAAGACGTTAATATATGCATACGTACCTGCTATATATACCTTGTTTCCTAAGATATTTGAGTACCACGTGATTCTGGTATACATATCTACACGCGTGTGAGTTCTCGGATCGGGTGCGACGATACGGCGGAGGGAGGCGGTGGCTGCCGGAGATCTTGTTCATTTTCTGTTTGTGTTAATAAATAGGTACTCGCTGGTTTTATAACGGGCTTTATAATTGGGGATGATCTAACTATATGTTTCTGTATTTGGTTGATTTCGGGCCCGTTTAGTTCGCTGATTTGAGTTTTTAATTTGAGTTAAGATGTGATGTTATGTGAGAGCTTTTTACTGTAGTAAAAAAGTTAGATGTGACTGTTTCTGAGAGCTTTTTACTGTAATAAAACTCAAATTCTAAACTCGAAGCTTTTTATTGTAGTAAAAAAGTTAGATGTGACTGTTTCTGAGAGCTTTTTACTGTAACAAAACTCAAATTGGCGAAGTGAACGGGCCTTCATTACTTGTATCAAAACTCTTTGGAATTCAGTCTCATATATATAGGTGGAATGTTGTATATCTTCTGTGTTTTACTACTTAATCAAATTGCAATGCTCATTATATAAACATTAAACAACATTTCCACAAAGACAAACCATAAGTGGGGTTCTGTTAAAAAATAATAAAGTTAGTCTTCTTTTATTTTTTATTTTTTAAAAACTTTAAGAGGAAATTTGAGTCTTTATTTATTTTTATTTTTGTTTCTCAGAAAATATAAGTCGTTTTTTAACAAGCATATGGAAGCACTCTTTGCATAAGAAATGCGCCTTCATTGGTCAAAGAGTTCAAATATGTTGTAGCACGTTTCTCATTCCAAATGTTGTCCCACCAATAAGATGATGACACATCATCATAAAATAATTAAAATATTTATGGAGTTACTACCATTAAGCAAAGCAAAAAAAAAAAAGGTTCAAAAACAAAATGACACTGTCATTTTTTTTTTTGAACTTTTTTTCCCGGTAAGTACTATATCTTCACACTGTCACCTTTCTCTCAAACCATAGTCATACGGGACGAAATGACATTGATGGTGGAGGGGATTAACTCTTTGCAGCAAACTCAGGGAAAATAAAAAGGATTCTAGGTTTCAATTATAGGGTCTGTTCTTTTCACAGATTTAAGTTAAAAAGTGAAGTTATGTGATAGAAAATAATACAATAAAAAAGTTGAATTTGAACATTTGTAAAAAATAAAAAAATAAAAAAAAAATACTGCAGTAAAAAGTTTGAGTTGTGATTCGAATTATGAAAAATTTACGTTATATATTTTGATCCCCAATTGAAATTCCTTTTTCATTGTGATTGTCCATTTTGTTACGTTCGCTTCAATGAGTATAATAAAATCAATGAGTATAGTAAAATCAAAATTTTGAACTGAAAAAAAAAAAAAACAAAACAAAACGTACGTCTAGATTGAGAAAGAGGCTGGAGGGGAAAAAAAATTAGGTAGCAATTAAACATAATTAGAAGATGCCCTATCTTTTGTCAAAATTTGGAATAGGAAACATACTACAGCATATTTGAACTTCTATGACAGGTGGAGGAGTAATTCCTATGCTTGTTAAAATAAAATAAATAAATAAAAAAGACTAAAGTATCTCTTAAAAGAAGTAAAAATAAAAAAAATAAAATAAAATAAAAGACTCAAGTTAACCTAAAACAGAAGAAAAAAAAAAAAAAAGAATTAAGTTTCCTCATAAAGTCAAAAGAATAAAAAAGAATCAAACGTCATTATGTTCACACAAGTTGAATGCGATTGGCATAAAAGCTCTACACACCTAATTAATTAACCCCACTTATGGTTTGTCTTTGTGGAAATGTAGTGCAAAATTAGCTGGAGTATAATTGATATATAATATACATATATATATATATATATATATGTTTGTATAATGTTTGTACTTAATGAGTACCGCAAGACATTAGCTAGCAACAGTCCAACTACATATATCATATATGAGATTGAATGTTCCAAAGAGTTTGTGATGCAATATTAATGAAATCAACCTGCAAATACATTAGATATCATCCCCTATTATTACAAAAGCCCCATTATGTAAAACCAGTAAGTACCAATTTATTAACACAATCGGAAAATTAACAAGATCTCCGGCAGCCGTCGCACAACTCCCCTGCTTGAGGCGGAGGAGCTAGAATAAGTACTATCGGCTCCCGCCACCATATCAACGCCGCAATCCGAGAACTCGCACGTGTGTAGATGCCAGAATCATGTGGCACCTCACATACAGGTACACATGTAATAACATGTCATGTAGAACACAACACATAGATATATAGAAAATTACTGGTATTACAACATCACATATATGACCGCAGAACTCCAGTCAACGCAATCCAAGGTAGAGTAGTTCTATAAATTACTTCTCAACCAAATGATCAGTCATACCGACTTTAACATACATATAATTAGGACAATTTATACAAAAAACATTAACACATATTACACAATTAAAAAGGTACATTAATCAAGCATCTAGATGATCAACAGCTTGTTCTGATCTATTAAGAATACCTGCATTGGTGAGCAAAGCCCAAAGGTGCGTCACAAACTCTCCGCCGGTGGCTAAATTCTCTGCATGGGCGGTTACGTCATCTGAGGGGGCTACAAACAGCATCATCTCGGCCCAAAACTCCGACAACACCTTCCATAATTGCTCCCAATTTTCTGTCTCATCGATCAACTGCTTTCCCAGCACCGCCCCTCTTTTTATTATCTCGTTCTCGCGATCACCTTCATGGCCTAATTTCATCATTTTTCGGCACTTGCTTTCTGAAGTTTTGCAGCCCTTGAGAAGATCTCTCGCTTCATAAACTACGCGGCTGAAAATGAACTCGGTTGTATAAGCATGATCAGGTAAAAGCCTCGGTTTAAAAGCCACCAAATAGGCACAATACTTGGATAAGGCATTGGCCACGTTGAAATATTTGCTTTTTGCAGCACTGATTTCAGTTTGCGAAAACGACAGTGACTTTTCGCAAAGAGTGGTGGCTATGTGCCAGACCAGAACAACATGTGTTTGCGTCTCAAGCCGACATGCCCAAGAGAACTGATCGGCGAAGCCATTACGCTGCAGAGAAGCTAAACCGTTGCTCAATTTTCGACCATTGGTCTTAAACGAAAGAACGACTGCTTTCTTCACCTCCGTTGTTAACTTGATGCGCTTATTTTCTTTCTCACCCTTTCTTTTTAGGTCTTTATAAGGGGAGACAAACCAGTTGTTAATCAATTTGCAAGGGTCATGATCAAAGTGTTTGATAAGATCGTATTGACCAAGCTTTCTCTCCCAAGGTTGTGAGTTTAACCATGATCGACTGTGGCATACAAAGCCTAATATCTTCTCCACTATGCGTTTCGTTCGCCAAGAGGGTTTCGCAACATACTTACAAACGAACAGTACCTTGGCCCAGTCAGAAGAAAATATAAAGACTAATTGCATAACTTCGATGAAAAGGAAAGTAAATATAACTAGATATGTGAGAAGAACGTCACAGTTAAACCGACCGAAAGTAAGGCTTCTATATCCATAAGGAGTGTTGTAACGATGGAGAAAAGATCCCACTATCCAGCAACCCAATACGACAATTAAGAGAGAGACAAACGGTCTCAGTTTTGGGAATCCATTAGCAAAGAGTGCAGGATACTTTGTGTACAAGGAGTCATAGAGAAAAGCGAGTTCTACCTCAACAACTCTGAATGCTCTCTCGTCATGATCATCATCACCGCTCTCAGAAAGTAATCCGTAACGAACAAAATTCCACGTCTTGTCTTGACAACTTTCGTGTAAGAGATATCGGCCAAATCTCCGACGCAGAAGCCTACACAGCGCAAATGATAGGCAAATGTCCTTAAGACGGTTGTTTGGGTCATTTCTGGAGCTTAAAAGACTTCCTTTGCACTCCCAGATTTTATGGACAGTGACAACTTCATCAACGGTGATATCTAGCTTCTTTCGGTAGAGTGGCAGCACGTGGTTGACCCGGTTTTCATTCTCCCCAGTCACCAAGTAATTGTATCCTTTCATGGAAACTGGATCTACCGCATGATCATCCTTGCTCAACGCGTGCTCGTCCCACATATAGTCTGAGACCAATTTGCTGTGTTCTGCCAAACCATCTTTGCTAGCCGACATCAAAGCTTCAATTCTTTCTCCTGCTCTGCCAAGGGACAAGAACCATACAATATATAGTTGAATCATTAGTTCTGTTGAATTAATACATTCACCAATTAAATAGCCCACCCAAAATGATTGAACAAGCATTTCCAAATTATATCTCTTTCGATGTTCGTTGTCTTCCAAGCTGTAGGCGGAGATGGCATCAGAGTTGCTGAGGACAACGCCCATAAACACCGCCCACACGGCAAACATCTCGTCGTAGAACGTAGTTGACTGCATCTGCCCCAAGGTGTAGGTTATCAACTTTGTAGACAGGAAGTAGGCAATCCATGTCAAGTATTTGACCGCAGAGCTACGGCTACGGCGTCGGAATGATCCAAATAGAACCAGGAAGACTAACAAGATGCTTGTCACTCCCACATAAGCTTCAATGCGTATTAGCTTTGTGCGGTAACTTTCCCTCTTTTTGAACACATAAGGAGCTTGAGGAGCAACACTCATATCATGAATTAGTTCCGTATATTCAAAACCCATTTTCTAATCCGCACTAGGCTGTAGTGGTATTTCGGGAAGTGCAAGGGTAATAAGTTTTGATTCTTGAATTGAATCCCTTTCATATGCGTGTATCTCTCTCTCTCTCTCTCTCTCTCTCTCTCTCTCTCTATATATATATATATATATATAACATAATACTATCATAATACTAGTCACTAAATCAGACGTTGAAGAGGCCATTTGACCCATCCTCACAAGTGATAGGTCCCACCTGATGGCGTACGCCCTCAGTGAGAGGACCGGGCCACAATCCCACAGGGTTGATTTAACCTTTTCCAATCTAAAGGATGTTTTTTTTTTTTTTTATTGGTCAATAATTCTAAATTATAATTCATTATTCTTTATAGTGTTTTTCTCTCATAAAAAACACACGTAAAACTAAAATGATTTTGAATCCATGAATCATGGTTCTGAATTCATGAACTAAACGTCCACTAATTCTTCAACTCGGATTATTAAGGTGTATTTTGCCCTGATACAAAACTTGCACATTCTCTTGTAATTTTCTTTTTTTTTTTAATCATCATAATGAAATTCCATGGCTGAAAGTGGATATGATAACTCTGATTATATTAAGGGTGTATTATAATTCTTGATTGTGCCTTTTTATTTTTTATTAGAATCTATTTTGTAATATATTCTTGGTGACTAATAAAAGATTACGGCACTTAATCCTAATAAATTGAGACGGCAGAGCACAACGTGATCCAGATGAAGCCTATGTCAAATAAAGGCTGCACAAGCTAGTGATATTCAAAACTAAAATTTTAGTAGATTTTCTTTCACTGAAATAAAATTTACGATTAACTACAAATTTAGCCCTCAAAGAATACGGTTTATCTCACTTTGCCCCCTAACAATTTAAAACATAATATAGGGAAATAATGATGAGTGCGGATTCTGAGTGACTGAGTAAAGGAAGAGACGATATTATAGTGGGACAACCAGGAAGTATTTGCAACTTTTTTTTTCTTTTAAAAATTTTAAAATCTATTTTGTTTAAATGTACTATATTTTCCTTTGTCAAGGAGTTAAATAATCCGCATGTGTTTAAACTATTAAAAAATTGAATTTTGATTGACAAAAATAAAGTTGCAACTTCTAGTGAAATTGGGGACTAATTTTTTGCTATTTCAAACTGTTGGGAATGGTGTCCTAGAAGCATAAGATGTAATAGGATATTTATTATTTATTTAATAAAAGAGTTTATTCATTATTTTATGTGCATATATTTATGAATATTTTATGAATATCAATAAAAATTCCATGGTTATTTATGTAACCTTAAACATTATATATAAGTGTTATATATGAGAGGATAATGTTTAAGGATAATAATCAAAAAGCAATGTTCATAATGAATTTAATTAAAGTTCAGAATCTTTAATTAAAACATTATTTATACATGTCATTCCCATTTAGAATGGAACGGTGTTATCCGCACTGTTAATATAGCGAGATATTGAATGAGTGTATTTCGTATAATGAGATTATGTGGAACAAGGACACAAACACAATATGAATTTCTAATAATTCCGTTAAGTATAGAAATTCTAATTGAGTCTACCGATGGTCATATATAGGATGATCTTAATCATGAGTTCTTAACAGACTCCTATTTATGGATTTGTGTCTTTTGATTTACTCGGTACGGATTATGAGATCCTAAATCCTATTCCTTGTATTTTGGAGACATGATGAAGTAGGTGGCCGGGAATGTTATTACACGAGATGGAATCCATTCCTTCTTAAGAAAGAAGTAGATAAATAATTCTCTTGAGGGTTGATTCGGTACTTGGACCAGTAGGAGCTCCGATTCATGA